GGATCCTCCAGGAGGAGCTGGAGATCGTTGCTGAGGAGAGGGACGTCTGGGGTGCTTTGCTTGGCCTGCTGCCCTCGAGACCTGGTCCCGGATACGTGGATGAAAACAGATGGATGTTTTACAATAACACTGTAATATTTGCTATTTAAAGCAGGGCTGTGTACATTTTGAGAGAAGAAACAGCACAGTCTTCCTCTTACAGATGAAAAGTTCTTAAGCAATAAAACTGTTTTCACTTAAATCCACTCAGAGGTTTTGCTGCTGCAGCCTCGTTTGGTTCGGTCTGACCAGCAGCTCATATCAGCAAACTACAGATGGATATTCCTGTGGATCTGACGTTACTGTATCATTTCACTGACTTCATGACTTGTGTGTAGTGTCTAGTTTCAGTATTTAGCCTGATACCATAATTGTGGGTTGATGTCACAGTGGCTGCTGGTGAGCAAAAGTTATACAGGCTTATTTTAAGTGAGGGATTTCAGAGCCTCCTCCACCACTGAGCAGCACCATTACCATTATCTTGATCCCAAAGCTGTCTGCGATGCCTGCCAAGTCTTGCTGAGGTGGAGCCTCATTTTCAATTCCTCTAAGCAGCAGAGCTGTCGGGCTGAGAAGAACTGAAAAAGAGAAACAACGCTGAAAAAGCAGCGTGAATGGAAAGATGCTGCGCTGAGGGAATAAAGCGGAAGGATGGTAGAAGGGAAGGGAACAGGGAAGGAGCCAAATAAAGGAAATGAACTGAAAGTGTTCAAAAGTCAGAAATAGCTTCATCAGCGGAAAAACTTTTCTCAGACGGGTGTGAAGTGTGAGGACGAGAAGGAGGAGACAGTATGAGCTCAGCTGCCTGTCTGTTATAATACAGCAGGCACAGGGAGATATAAGCACACACACACACACACGCACTGGGTGAAGTTACTGTAACCAGACTCCAGTCATGCCTGCAGCTCTGTGAGATTGTATTCAGGTTCAGAGGTGGTTGATATGTGGATGAAAGCGGCCGCATGCTAACATGCTCACAGTGCTGATGCTAACATGCTGTGTTCACCATCTCAGTTTAGCCCAGGGGTCGCTGACCTGCACTATCAAAGAGCCATTTTGGGCAAAAAAGCTCTCAAATAATCTGCCTGGAGCTGCAAAACACATCTGAGCCTCATACTGAAGGTAACAGGAAGTCTAAATTCACCCAGCAACATTACTAATAGCTCTGAGGCTGCTTTCACACCTGCCCTGTTTGGTTCAGTTCAATCAAACTCAAGTTAGTTTGCCCCCTCAGTGCGGTTCGTTTGGGCAGGTGTGAACAAGAGCAGCTTTCTCACACAAGGCATTTGATCTGGTCCTCTTGTAAATGCTGCCGTGAGAACACGAACCAACTCTAGGCAATTATACAACTTTGTGACAACATAAGTCCCTGATTCAGACCAGAGGAGACACTCTAGGGCTGACAGCAGCCTCACTGAGCATTTATTAATATGTTTTACCACAAGGCCGCTCCTCTGCAGTGGGCTATGTATTACTGTTTGCTAATTTAGAAATTTACAAGGTTGGCAGTAAACACAAACAAGTAAGTCCATGCACAGTTAAAATTTCTGTTGTCCTCCAAGATGTTTTTGTCGGTCTTGAATCCATAGCTAGCTTAGCTCGAGAGAAATGTAACATATTCTGTGTGTAGGCTTCACATTTTTACAATTGAGAATGGTAGAATCGCTCAGGGCCTGCGACAATGCAAAATGAAAATGAACAAAACACAGGTAGCCTACCCCTAGTTTAGCATGTTAACGTTTGCTAAACAGCACCAGTTGGGCCTGATGGGAGTGTCAGTTTCACAAGTGTTTGGTAATAAAACTAAGTATGTGACAAATCAAAAATGAGACCAGACGATGGTGCTGAAAGAAAATTTGAAGATCACTGTTGATTCTGTAAAGGACATCAAGGTGTGTAACGAATGTCACGGCACTTTTGTCACCAATAAATCGTTGTTTACGCCAAACAAAGTTTAACAATACCGTCTTAAAGCTTAAGAAAAACTCTCCAAAATTCTCTGTAGTAAATAAATCTGCATCGCTCAGGTTCTCAAGTTACCTTTGGGACAGGAAACAGTACGTTTCTTATAATGACATCAATACATTCTTATGTTATATCATAGTACCTCAGGGCTCTGTCCTCGGGCCATTATTAATTTTAATTTATATGAATGATCTCAGTCTCAGTCAGCAGTTCCAAACTGATGAGCCGAGGTCCAAAAGTGGGTCGTGGGTTCATTCAGAGTGGACCGCAAGTGACTTGAAAACGTGTAAAAAAAAAACCACACTTTATTTTGAAGTACAGTTAATTTCTGGCACAAAGCTTTTACTCTGAAGTGCTGTTTCCTGCTGTAGAATGAGTGACTAATGGACAGCTAATTAACAGAGACAACAAACTAGCTTGATGACATGGCCAAACACAAGGTTCCAAGGAGCAAGGACAAATCTGGACTCTGTGGCTGCACCAGTTGGGAACCACAGATCTAAGTCATGTTTCAAACAAACTGTCTCGTGTTATCATCTGTGTTTTTTCTCGCATTAAGACGCTGAAGAAACCAGTTAAGTAATAAATCAAGAACTCATAAAGATAAGTGATTGGTTTAACTGTAATTAATTATCTCTTAATACGTTGTGTTCAAACATGTCGTGCTCTTTGGCGCTCAGCCAAACAGTCTTTAAATATAATAATTAATAATAGACCTACTATTATTTAAGTGCAGCCAACAGTGTATGTTTGTTGTTTGTACTCATATTGGAGAGTCAGGTTTCCTAAAACTAAAAAGTGTGTACATGGCAGGAAAAAGCATATCCCCTCTCCAACAATCGACCGTCGCCCTGAGCTGTGTGTCGGCTCAGCAGCAGCTCATCAGGACATTGATCGTGTTAACGAGGGCCCGACCTCTCTGCTCTGTACAGCTGCAGATTTATTTTCCTCCCTCTGACAGCCAGATTTAACCCGACTGCTCCGTGACTTCACCAGCGTGTCGCTGTGCTGGCAGACGACTCTCACACAGTCAGGAGGGAGGAAACCAACCCAAAACCACCAAGAGGGAGCACGCTGAGATTTATGAGCTCACCTCCAGTCAGGCAGGAAAAACAGAACAAACATCGACTTGTTCCACATCACAGCTGAAGTTTCCTCCTGCTGAACATAAGAAACATAACGCAGTCATGAAAGAAAAAAATCTGCTCGTTTTTCTGAATAAACAAGATCAGTACCTTTCAAAGGAAAACACTTCTGTTATTGTTTCTCTGAATTAAAAAGATCACATTCTTGTCAATTCAGAAAAACTGGATTTACAAGATTATTTCAGAATTAAGAAAATGAATTCTGGGGAAAAATTCTGCTCTTTTTTAAATAGAATAAAGATAATAATCTCGTTGATTCAGCTTTTGAATGAGATGATTATTGTGTTTATTCAGAAAATTTAGAATTTATGAGATTATTGTTTCAGAATTGAGAATTGTTTTCTAGAGAAAAAAATGTCCTCTTTTTTATGAATTAACAAGATAATAATATAAATTCAGAAAAATATACATTTCTCATTATTCTGAATTTAAAAGATCATATTCTTGTTAATTCAGAAAAATGGGTGTTACACGATCATTATTTCAGAATTAGGAAAAGGAATTCTGGGAGAAAATTCTGGTCTTTTTTTTATTAATTAACAAGATAATCTCTTAATTCAGATTAAAAATCTGAATTAAGAGATTATCTTGTCAAAATAATGATCACATTAATTTATTTTTTGTTTTGAATGAGATGATAATCTTGTTATTCAGATATTGAACAAAATAATATTTTAACATGATTTTAATATTATTTTTGAAAAAAAAACAAAAAAAAAAATCTAATCTAAGATTATTTTGTTAAATTAGAAAAAAAGAGCAGATGTTTTTCTATGAAAACTTTTCTCATAATTTTGAGATTAAAATCTTGTTAATACAGAAAGATAACAGATAATAATAATAATGAAAATAATAATCTTGTAAATTCTCTTTTTTTTTTTTAAATTACCAAGATTATCTTGTTAATTCAGAAAAACAGGGCATTTTTTCCTAAAGTGAACACATTACACTTCCAGAAGGAATAGTTTATATAAGAAGAGAAAAAGTGTTTTTGTCTTAAACTTTTACATTTGTAAGTGTGCAAGGTTTTAAAGCCCAAAGACGGGAGAATTTTCTCAACAACCAACATTAAAACATTTCACAGACGGCTGATGTGTGCTCACCTTTTGCCTCTGATAACTTAAGATCCAGACGTTCAGGAGATTTTTACTCAGAGCCGAATTATCTGCAGGAGGTCTCTTCCTCTCCAAAACAAATGGACTTCTTAATTTCAACCAGTAAAAACCCTGAATAAAGCAGTTTGTGTTAAAAATCTATGTTTTCCCAATGTAGTTTGGCTCGTAGCCCAGGGGCTGCTGATGCCAAAATGCAAATGACCCTATCTGGAGCCAGAAACATGGCGACCTCTGTAGTCGAGGACCTGCTTCCTGTGTAGATACAAACGTCTCATTTTAAGGTAACAAAAACACAGTGATTCTTAGTTTCAGGTGATTAAACACTAAAGAACACTTCGCTGTGTTCCCTTTCTGCTCCCTAAATCCTTCACACTGAATCTTTACAGTCAGTGCATAATTACAGAGTCATTTTGTGAAAGCTTGAGTGTCATAATGATCATCTCAGTGGGAGGGGCCTAACCAGCGAGGTGTAAATTACAGCATCAGATCAGCCTGTGTCTGTGCCATCACACATCAAACATGTAAGAGCACGGTTTAGTGGTCCAAACAGATGTTTTACTGAACTTTGAAGTGTGCAGATACACACACACACACACACACACACACACACACACACACACACTCAGGCAGAGTTATGTGTGATGTTTAAAATTAGAACTCAGATTTACGCCCCTCCTTCGGATGCCGCTTTCATAGATGTCGAACGTACGACTGAGCCAAACACAACAGACTCACCGGCTTTTGACATAAGCAAATTTATTGTTCTTGCTCCGTGTGCGGTGTTACATAAACATGTAGTGGTGTAAGTCTGCTCACCGTGTGAAAAGGACTGTACAGGAAGTACTAAAGATTTCATGTCTGAGCTGGAAACTGTGTGGGTGGGTGAGTTTTAGGAAACTGTGCCAAGACACAGCCGAGCCAAGTCACAACTCATCGTTTGGCGCTGTATGTACATACATACCATGTGATATTATTTACACACACTCTCTGCACTCACACACACTCTGACACACACAAGCTCCAAGTCCCTGACACGTTTACTGTAAGACTGTCACATAAAATAAAAAAGGCCACAGAGCGCCCTTCTAACCCGTCGACAGCTCAGGCTCCGCCCCTTCCTGTGGGAACAGGGATGGTAGATTTATAAGTCTGGACGCTCCTTTGAGGTTCCTCAAAGTTTCCACCCACTCCCACAGCTGCAGAGTGGACACGGCGTCACAGGGACGTTATATCTATATAACAAAGCAGCCGGTCAGAGCGCGTACCAAACCCACTCTGACTCAAAGCACTGCATGTTCCAGGTTAGAGAGGATCAGTGTCAGCACTGAGCATGACTGCAACACATCTACTGTATCATCATCTGAGGAGGCTTTAAGGCAGAAACCACAGAGCTGGAGACACAATGTTTATCATCAAGTGTTGTTAAAGGGACCTAAAATGAAGCAAACACTGACCAATCAGAGCAGGAGGAGGTCTTAAAGACACAGGCGCTATAACGGAGACAGATGGTGAATACAGGCGCTTCAGCAGAGACAATATGAGGAAAATAAAGTGTTTTTGATCAAATAAAAACTTAAAATACAAGTCTGAGCAAAACAGGTCGCCTTTAACGGTTCAGATGCTGGTGATATTTTAAATTTTAATATTTATTATTGTCAACACAGAGACCAAAACCAACAATGTATTGATCAAACTATCAAATATTTCCTGTGCATTCAACACCTGATAGCGCTCACTCCTCTGTGCCACAGAGCCCTGTTAGACACACATCAATGAGCCACACCGCAGCACTGCAACTATCTGTTATTTTAATTTCAGATTAATCGTTTGGTCACAACAAAATGCCTGAGAAGGGGAAAAAAAAAAATCCTGTCACAACTTCCTAAAGTCAAAGGTGACATCTTTAGATTCTTAGTAATCAATAAATCATCATCTGTTTCAGCTTCACTGTAAGTACTCGCTACAGCTTTAAATGTGTTAATCCGCAGCTGAAAATAGTCCCAATCAAATTTATGGTTTTCTCATATTTAAGTTTAGTTTCCTAAAAACCACAGAGTCCAACTGCTTCAGCAAACTCCTTATAATTAAACTTTATATTAAGACGTAGAAGATGTAGCGTCGGTTGTCGTCTACGATGACACGCTACACAACATTAAACGATGGATTATCGCGTACGACACTTGTTGTCTTTCATGATCCGAGCTGACACGTACGATGCTGCGTCATGCTATAATCACCTGTGATATGGTGTAGTCTGAACCCCACATTAGTCTAGCTCACAGTGATGTTTGTCAGTTTACCGCTCAGACGCAAAGTGGCATGACAGAGCACCCGACGACATACAACCTGCAGCTTCTACTATCGTCATCTTCCTGTTTCAGTAACAACTTTAACTTTTCTTTTTAAACTCTGAGCACAAAATTAAGTTCTTTGTGAAAAAATATTTGCCTCATCACAGTTATTAGAGGAGGGCTCTACAGATTTACACCTTCAGTAGGAAACAAAAATGTTCTGAGCGCCACAGAGACGACCACATGTTTGGTTTCGGTCTGTTCATGGGATGTGTTAACAGGAAGTCAAATACAGAGTCACACCAGCTGTAGTCTTTAAGGGTTCAGAGGCTGAGCGGTGAGTCGGTACCCTGCGATCAGATCCAGAGAAGGGAGTGCAACTGGAGCATACAATAACCCACACACACACACTCACACGCACACACTCACACTGAAGAAAATTTAAATCTTTATGAGACTTGACTCTTAATATTCTCTGTGCAAGATGAGGGTAAGACGTCTATTGCTTAGTAAATGTTAGTAGTACCACGATGTCGTCAGAGCCACCTTCACAAATATGTGCTTTTACTAATCCCATGAAGTTGAAAGTATCTGGAGTGACATATTTTCTGAGGCCTGTTGGGTGCAAAGTTTATACTGAGAAAAGGCATTTTAGTGTTTATAAAAATATACAAATATAAGCCAATGTTGTGCGGCTCTGTACACAGCCTGCCTGCTGGGTTTATGTGTTATTGGAGTGATGGTGTCCATGAGTCTGTTTCTCTTGTGTAACTGCAGACAAACTCACCGCTAACTCTACTCTCTCTTCCTCTCTGTCTAAACAACACCAAGGAGTTCATGCTTCGTCGCTCCTCCACCGGCCGCCGCTGCCGTCAGTGAAAAACACACAGAAGAAGAAAAAAGAAGTCACGCTGCGTCTGTGTGGTTAGGCTTGAATCTCCCGCGTAAAGAAAAGAAAAGGCCACAGAGTCCCCCCTCGCACACGCAGTCTAGTTCATGTCACTGGTGTTATAGCCGTGCAGAGGGATGAGTGTGTTCAGTCCGCCGTCCACCTCGGGCCCCGTCCTCCAGGGATCTGTTTGTCGGACCGGTCCTGCCGCGCCCCGTGCTGAGGGATCAGTGGACCCCTCCGTTGTAGGACTTCCCGTACATGTTGAAATCCGTTTCGACAAAGTGTGTGGTGACAGGCTGCTTGTACAGAGGGTTGGAGGCCTGAGGGTGAGACAGGAGACAGGAAGTCACACAGCGGCACGAGATGAGAGCTTTAAACTCTACATGAGAAAGTCCAGGGTTCTAAAACACAGGCCCTGCTCATATTAGCTTATTGTAGATACGATGATATCAGCATGTAAGAAACTACAGTACAGAAAACCAACAGCATGTCTTCATAACACAATTCTACCTCCAGAGCAGGAACGTGATGGTGAGGAAATGAAGAGTTGATTATTTTGGGCATTTAACAATAACAAATATTTCCCAGTGATGCTCAGTGTCTGTGGCGTCAGATGAAGTCACTGCTGATGCAAACATTTTCTGCTCCTGCAGCTTCACATTAAAAACATTCAACTGGCGAAACAGGAGTTTTACTATGGAGGAGTCGCAGGAAATGCAAAATGTTTGTCACTGTTAATTTGATTATTCATCAAAAATGCATCTACAAAAAAAGACGATGGTCATTTTTGTCATTTGTTGACGGTGGATAAGTTTGAAATATTGCAAGAAATAATCGGTCAGATGAAGAGCTGCAGGTGACGGGCTGCACACCTCAAACTTCTAGGTCATTTTAAGGCCAATATGGATGATGATGATGATGATGATGATGATGATGCTATTATATACAATATCCCAGAAGCAAAAGAGGTGTGATGGGGCTGCCATATAACACAACAGCATCTGCCTCTAGTGTGACATATAACAAACACGTCATAAACAAGAACAATCACTTAGCGTCCCTGTTATATGGCGCCTGATCTTGTCCTCTGCTCGGAGGGTAAGGAGCTCCTGAACCTCACTGTTTTCACAGTTTGTAGAAATCCTCAGCCGCTGCTCTTTGTCATTGAGTTAGCTGCTAACTGCTACTGTTTAAATCTCCCGCAGTGAGCTGCACACGACACACTGTCAAAACGTCACACACCCCGCCCATAACCCCGTCCTGCTCGCTGTCCCATTTGTACAGACATCTTTTCAGAGTTGTTTCTACCTTCGTTCCCTGCTCAGAGGTGAGAAAACTCTGTCGCCCCATTGAGCAATCACACCTTATATACAGCACAACGAGGCGGCATAACGGTGCCATATTCTCGTCTTTAACGAGCAGTGTAAAAGAGGCTAATGATGGTGTAAAACAGTCAAGCAGGTTTTTCAACTATCGTGTATCCCCGCAACCACAGGAGGTCCGTGAGCATACAGTCGTAAATGTGCACATGAAATATGGCTGACTGGTCTAGTAGTTTGTGAGATTAGCTGCTGACAGACAGAAATATTCTGTCACACTTTTATTTTCAAACAAAGGCAAAAATGCCCCAAAAAGTAATATGAAAAACAACATCAGCTGAAAATCAAAACTGAATTATTTCACTCTCAACATTTCGTCGTGGTTACTACTGTTTCATGAAAAAATATTTCAGGACATTTTCAGCGTCTTCCTGAGGTATGAATTTAGTCACTTGTGTCTTGTGTAGTGTTGGAATTTCCTCTCTGATTCTGTTCTGTGATTTGTTTGTGGCTGTAATTTGTGGTGTTTTATGAGCATCATATTTTTACTTGACACTCTTCCTTATAATGAAAACAAGGCACCAGAACAACATTTCACAGATGAGGATGCTCGTCCTTACCATCTCATATCGGGCTCGTGAGCGTGCACTCTGGAAGCGTGCAAACTCTCTCCGGTCATGAATGGTGATGACCAACTTCCAGGCAGCGAGCAGCACCACCCCCACCAGCAGGATGCTGCCGACCACTGCGAGCAGCACCGTCAGAGCATCGGGCCCGGCGGCACACTCTGACACAGGAAGAGGAACATTAGAATCCCAACAGTCAGCGGCGCTCTGACAGCTTGGTATTTTCCTGACCTTTAAATTCACTGTCTGTGTGGTGTTTGGTGCCCAGTGCAGAGCGCACAGCACAGCAGGGAGGAGAGGAGCCAACAGCAGGGAGTTCATTCAAAATCATTTTAAATATCAAAATATATTTAAGTGATGTGTCCAGATCTAATCACTAACAGCAATCAAAACAGCAGTTTCAGTGGATGTAAACGGACGGTGTGAAGATGCCCTGAGTGGTGAAACTGCAGCCTGTCTCACTGCTGCTGGCTGCAGTGCTGACGCCCAGCACTGAATCAATTTCAGAAATTGTTCTCTGTTAGTCACTCAGACACAAACACTTGAAAACAGAGTCCAGGCTGGAAAATACCAAACTTACTCTTGAATCATCAAATGCAAGATTTTCGGTTACAAGCCAAGAACAAGAATCTAAATGTTTAAACATGTCACAGTTTGATCTGAATCTGTGTCTGACATTTGGTGAAGTCATGAAGAAGTCATCAACTCATGTGCAGCCAGTTTTAGTTAAAGTCTGAGTCTGTGCTTTAATGTGACAGCTTCACAGTTTGCAGCCAACATGGAGGTAAAAAACCAAAACTAGATCTGAGGTCAGGAGCAGAGACTGTTGGACCTTTAAAAGTTGTGCTGGGTGATGTTTAATAATCACAAACACAGTCTGCAGGCTGCTGGCTGTGAGCAGGTTAAAGAGGAGGACGTGTTTGGAGCACTGACCTGGCTCTTTGAGAGCTGTGAGGATGGATTGTCCACTGGCGTGCTCAGAATACGTGAACTTCATGACACAGTCGTTGTCTGTCTTATAGAGACAAAGCACAGCGCCGGGCTCATCCGTTCCTGGAAGGGAAGGAGAGGAAAACAGAAACATGCTGAGTTTAAACCAGAAGGAAAAATAATAAGAGTTTTGCTGAAGTGTTTATCTGGATCAGTTAAAATCATCTTCAAGTTCATTTCTGCAGCTTTTTACTTTTTTGTTTTTACACGACAAATGACTGAAAAACAAAACAAAAAACCTCCCACACACCCCGTTACTGGATTAATGCGCCCAAAAGACGCCCAAAACAAAATGGCGCCCTCGTCACTGTATGAGTATTAAAATAAATATGTAACTAAGCAAAATGTGTCACTGTGTATAACTTTATTTTTTGAGTTAATAATTATGAGAGAGGTGCCTCCTTCATTTGCTCGAGCACCTGCCCACCAAAAATGTCTGTGCACTGATTTGAAGCTCAGTTCTGGTGATGAATCCTGGAGGAAGCATCTGTCACACATGATGTGTTCAAGGACTGTCTGAAATTTGGGAATTCAACAATAATTTCTGTTTTTAGAGTTTCTGGCTCTGACGAATGTTTTAATTTTGGCATTTACTCTTTTAACTCTGACTCTCTTAAACATTTATTACTTGTTTCTTTAATTTGTTTACATCTTTAGCTCCATTGAACGCACTCTGATCTTGTAGTTGCACTTTGAATTTTGTTTTTGTGTGTAAAGCAGTTTGTAAACTTGTTTTTGAAGGGTGCTATATAAATAAAGTTTGTTATTAATATTTAGCTTTTTAGAAATCATGCCTTTTGTACCCACCAGCAGGTTTTGGTGTCAGAGTATTAAAAATAAATACAAAAAAAAACAACTATTTAAAGTTGCATGTCTCCCCTCTGAGCCAAAATAAAAATATATATCCCCTGTTCTGCAGCACCTCCTCCTCTCTGACAAATAAGGAACAGTCCCTTAGGGAAAATAATTTCTGACGGGACAAGTATCCATCTACATCTCTGAGTTTTATTCATTCCTTCTCTCTGCAGGACCTCGTGTTCTCCTGCTGCTCTGGGGGACACTTTATCAGATTATCGTTGATATTATCTGTCGAGCTTTGGCTTCAGATTCTGTGAGAAATGAAGAAAAAATGAGGAGAAGCTGAGGAGGAATCAGCTGCTGAGGGAAAAACAGAACACACTTGTGAGCGGTTGTCACATAGCCTAAATTTCCTTGCTGTGAAATCATAGCTGAGACGCAGATATCCTGCGTGCCCTTGTTTTCAGTCAATCTTCATCACCCAAAAAGACTCAGAAGCTCACAGGGGAGGGTGAGGTCACGCTGCCCCTGGTCCACCCCTCCCTGCACCCCCCCCCTCCTCCTCCTCTCCATCAGCTCCTCCTCCTCCTATTTCATGCACAAAGTATCTGGAATGTACATGTGGAGTCCATTAAGGCCAGTCAGATGGCTGAACTCGTTGGGAATGCTATGAAACACGTCAGATCTGGGCCAGGGCCACACTGGGCCAAAATGGAGCGCTCTTATAATAGTCTCTGGAACTAAACACACAACCAACAGACTCTTCTTTCTCCTCTGTGAGACGCCGCGCAGCATCACAGTGCCGTGAAGGCCATAAATCACTGTGAGCTTATTAATGCATTCCTAAACATCTCCTGAATGTTTCCCTCCAGGCTGCCAGCAACATAAAGCTTTATACGGTACCTACAAACACTCAGAGTGGGACTGAGCTCCACCTGACGCTGCTGCTGCTTTTTAAAGCAACACCTGAAGGAGACGATGCTTTGGAGCAGGGTTTGTTTAGTGGGTGGATTGTCTCTCAGCTCAGATTTTAGACCTGAATGGACTGAACTCTTTAAACCAGATGAGAGGGTGAAATGTAGTTGAGGGTGTGTGTTGTTTCCTGCTGAGTGGAGTGTGTGTTTTGAGCTGTGAGCTGCCCAGAGTGACACCTGCTATATAATAACATCAGGGCTGACCGCTGCTCACTGGGTGTGATTTCATTATTGAATTAGAGAATGTGTGTGAGGTGTTAAACAGGAAAAGATGTGAAGCAGTGAAGCCCCGACCGACCGACCACAGAGAGCTGAGCATTAACAACAACGATCAATGGCTCATAGTCTCAAGTACATTTAGGGAGTGTCAGACGCTACTTTGATGGTTAAACGGTGCATAATGTGGGCGTATTTACACTTTAATAAATCATAGGTGTGTTTTGGGCGCAACTTGAATTCAACCAATCAGAGTGTCATCTCCCATTTCCTTTATAAACTAGGTGAGCCTGCACCTGGTGCGCTGCTGTTTGCTGCTATTGGAAAATTGAAGAAGCAAGCGTTTTCTGCTGAGTGACGCAGTCAGAGCTGTGATGTCACTGCAGCAAATATAGTGGGACATTTAAAACTATAGTGCGTAACTTCTACAGGTCTGTAAATGTCCGTTTCACCCAAGCCACTACTAGAGGAGATGACACAATGCTGATTAAGCCGATCGGCTCCTCTAACATCTCGCGGTATTTTTCAATATATATCATTTTTAGTTTGCGTGTCGACCGGCGACATTCCTGCGTTGGCGCACAGGAAATGAAGGGCAGGAGGAGGAAGAGCGGAAAGTGTCACAGCAAGAGGTAGAGCTCAGGTAGAAAGAGAAAGCAACATGGTGGAGAAGCGGCCGAGACACGTTTCAGAAGTGGATCCTACCACAAAGAAAAAGCCTGGACGTTTTGCTGAAGGTCTTTTAGCAAAGAAGGAAAGTGACCGACGGAGAAGGCAAACAAGGATTTGTATTGGCGTCGCTTTTCCTCGGTGGAGAGCCCTGAAGGAAGAAACTGGGCTGAGGGCAGACACGGATGTTGCCTTGCTGCTGTTGGATAAGTAAGTGACTTGGTTTATAATTATATTATGAGTAGTATGTGTTGCTGTTACATGTACTGGACCTAGTACTTTATTATTTTCTTGGAAATGGTGCTATGAACGTAATGTAATGTTAGCAGCCTGGTGTTCGCCACGTTGTGTAGC